AGACATCTATCGTTAGGTATGAGATGCTAATTTGCATATCAGTGATAGACATCTATCGTTAGGTATGAGATGCTAATGCATATCAGTGATAGAGATCTATCGTTAGGTATGAGATGCTAATGTACATTAGTGATAGAGATTAATAGAGATTAATCCGAGATTAATAGAGATCAATAGAGATTAATACCGAACATGCATTGAACATGAAGTTAAACAATGAACACTGAAACATGAAATAGAACATATGCTTACACCGTATTATGTTAAAGGTCACCTCTATAGACCAAACATCTGCCCATAAAGAAAACATTTTTGTGTTCCCCTTGATGACAGTCATGTATACTGAAACCATCTCTATGAAACAGACATAGAGTCTATGAAGGAGACTTGACATTTCACTTGACTGACCATTCTATACAGATTTGACCACATAATTTATAACATTGCTTCAATGATTTGATCATTCATCATATTCATATATCATATGTGGATAAATGCTTCCTATAGCAACAATTACTAACTGCAGCATTCATATGAAAATGGCTTGATTTTTATATTTATATTTATATTTAATATTTAATACAGCAGACACTAGTACTCACTTAAGCAGCTGTCTTTGCTGAGCCTTCATCTCTTCCAACTGATTTACACAAGTTGCTATCTCAGAATCTTTCCTGTGAACACAAAAATCCATTTTTTATCATCAAGATCCTGTTGAAGCTGCAAATGTATTTAGAGGTGATGCGTTTTGATGATTACACTATTTAATTAATAATTTATCAAGTGTGCCCCAGGTAATTACATACCTTTGTAATTCCAATTCGTGTTCTGCTATGATATTTCCTGTAGTCTGTTTAACCTAAATGAATATGAAGAAAAAGATTTTCACTGACACATTCCTTCTCACAACATAACATATTGTTTATGTTTATAACCCTGGCAAACGTAACTTACTGTATAAAATGTGATTAGTGCATACATTTCAATATTTAGTTATTTAATTTCAATGCCAAAGCTATTTCTCTGCCTTTTCTTAGTATTCTGTTGTGTTCTTATTATACATAGGTTTCACTGACGTCACACATCCGGGTATTCGCCCCGGGCGCCGCCATGTTTGGGGGAAGCGCAGTGGATCGGGAGGGGGGGGGGTCTGTCAAGCAGGTAAGGGAGATTACGGTACGCATATATTTGCTAATATATTGACTAATCGTGCGTCAATAAACTCAATATTCACAGAGAGTATAGCTAAGAGTAAGACATGTGTCTATAGGTATCTAGAATTTTAGAAATATAATCATCTGTAATTCACTTCCGCGCGCATATATTTGCTAATATATTGACTAATCGTACGTCAATAAACTCAATATTCACAGAGAGTATGGGGCAGGTGCGTAGCCAGGGGTTCATTGAGTTTATTGATGCACGATTAGTCAATATATTAGCAAATATATGCGTACCGTAATCTCCCGTACCGGCTTGAATATAGACACCCCTAATGGATCGCAACCATTGTTTTCATTGTTTACGACTACGACTATTATCAATCATCAATGCAGGGTGATACTCCATTAGGAGTGTTCACAACTTTAATGTCATTAATGGTCATAATAACACATAACATAATAACATAATGCCAAAGAAAGACTGGTCAACGGATGTAACGGAGTGGCCGGATATCGCGTACCCAGATATCGTTAACTATTTGATAAATACGCAAAGCGCTTACACCCTCTGCGATTTAAAAGCCTACAAATCTTTGGAAGCTTACAATCAGTTTGTTTGCGGCTGGGTAAAAGACGTAAGCCATGTTAGCATCGACGGTAGATGTTTAATGTCGGCTCGAGTACGCCATTCACAAAGGATGAATGACACCCCCCTCAGACGGTAAAATTCAGACTGCACACTGTAACTGCATGGCAGGTCTGGGGGAAGTATGTAGTCACGTGGGTGCTGTTTTGTTTGCCATCGAGGCAGCTGTTAAATTGAGAAACTCAAAAACTGTGACGCAAGAAAAGGCCTACTGGCTGCTTCCCTCTGCTCTCAATAAAGTGGGATATAAAACAGTACAAGATATAGATTTTTCATCGGCCAACATGAAGAAGAGAAAATTAGATGCGGCAGTCGCTGGTACTCCCCTACCACAGAAACGGCCCAAAAAATTACCTGACGTGCCTGAACCTAGCCAAGAAGAAGTTGCAGAATT